TACTTTTTCATGATATTCTAATTTTATGACCAGCACCTGTAGAGCTGTGTTCTGATGCCTCATTGGAGCTTTCTGCAAACATGTCTTGGTGTAAAACCGACACCTTTTGTTAAGTAGTAATCATTAAATAAACAAACGTTTGCAAAGTGTACTCCAGTAGATGAGATAATAAACATTAAAAGTGGCTGCCAAGATGGATACGATGTGGACAACAATGCAATGTGCATACAGTTAGCAAGCCCTGCAGCAAACAAATAGCCTTGATTTTCAAAAGCTGGCTGAACAAATTGCATCAGTGCAGTTCACTGGTTGCTTGGTCAAAAATACTCAAATCAGCAGGACTGCAGTAAAAAAAGAGCATATTTTTGCAACGCATCACAGTGAGAATGAACATGCATTGTGAGGATTAGATTTAAAGAAATCTGGTGAAAATAATCTGAGAAGTTGACGATTTTTCCACTCATATTGTTGTGTCAACAAATAACCAGGTCTTTTGGTTTGTTTTTCATCATCCTTTTGTGTCCAGAACATTCGATACGCTGAGGAACCACCCGTCGTTTTACCTTTTCAACCATCGAGGGCGAGTTTTATTTCGCACGCCGGAGGAGGAGCCCTCCTCCGTACACAACCAGCAGGCTCTCCCCAACCCCATCAGGCTACGCAAGCTGGAGCATTTGCACTGAAACGGGCCTTCCCCCGGCCCGGAGCACCGTCGTCGCCCATAAGGGGTTTGGTTTTTGTCTGAAAAGGTGGGGCGGACTGAGAAATGACCTTCTTCCACTTTTGTTTTATTTATAAGTAAACTAACCTGCTGTTCAAACACACCTCTGTCCATAAAGTGGCTCCCATCATATCCAACACTGACTGTGCCAACTCTTCTATTGTTCAAGCTCATTTGTTTATATATATGATAAATAACTGCTTTGGAGTCTTAAGATACTTACCTACACCTTTTTGTCCCTTCAATACTAAATCAATTTGTTGCTGTTTGTAGAATTTTTTTTATTTGAATCAGGTTTAACAAAACCAGTTTTTGTTACTGCTCCATTTGAACCACATCATTCTTCAGCAGCAGCAGCCAGATTTATTTCATGAATTGAAAACTTTTTGTTTCCTCAACGATTTCCTGGAAACAGACTCTACATCCTGTTTACAGGAAAAGTTATTTTTTTATTTGTCTCGTGTTCCAGAAGATCAGGAAAATATTAGAGCTGAGATGAATGTGAACTCTAAAGTGAAGCTGAATTAATCCTACGTTTGTTTCATTTCTGCCTCCGTTTTACATTTACAAGGTTTGACAGAATGTTTTTAATTTAATAAAATTAATAATTTTACAGAGTATCAGGCTCTTTTTTTGTGCACTGGAGCTCATTAATCCGATTAGTTTAAACTTACATAAACTTTGACATTCTGTTTGAAGCAGCAGACGAGTTGTTTCTGAGCATTTAGCTCAATAATTGGAACAACGTTTGCTGTGACCTTGCTGCAGGACTGCTGCATCAAAAAATGCCATCATGGGGAGAAAAAAACTCTGCAGTTTGTGAAGCTGGACTGTAGGTGGTGGTGTGGAGCACCTGTGGTTTGTTTTCATCTGAACTGAATCTGGACCTTTTCAGGTTAATAAAACAGAAAATTTTAGGATGTTTACAAACAAAAAATTAAAATATAAAACTTAAATAGTTTGAATTTTCTGCCTTAAGTCAAAAAATGCAAATGGTTTCAGTTTTGTCAAAGTGAATAAGAAAGTGTTTACTTGGAAATATCTGAACGCTGGCCAAAGCAGCAGGTTTACATTTTACCTGTCAGGATTTTCTTATAGATTCAAGGACTCAGAAGACAAAGTATAAGAAAATATCAAACTGTTTGGTTCTCTGAATATTTGATCTAAAATTATATTTAAAATCTTACTGAAAATGAAATCACTGAGGCACAAATGTCAAAACTTTCTGCTGTTTATTTAAAAAATGGCTTAAAACCTCTTTTTCAAAATATTTCTTTTTTGACATAAATTTACAAAAATAATCTCTATTGCCTATGAGCGTTAAAAAGTAGTGTACAACGTGTAAAAAGGAGGAGGGCGGCAGCTCGGCCTGCTCGGAGTAAAGCTGTGATGATGGACTCTGGAGAGGACTTGCTTGAGTTTTAAACCAGAAACTTGTGACTACCTGTAGTTGAGCAGCAGATCAGAAGAGGAGTGATCATAAAACATGTAAACACCTCAGTAATGTGTGGAAAAACTTCAAAGATATCTATAAAATACTGACAAACACTGGTTGGTATCAAAACGTGCAAAGTCAGTTTGCAGAGGATTTCCATTCAGAAATCGAAGAATTTGAACTTTTAGAAACAACCATGAGAAATTGAGTTTGGAAAAATCGTTTGGTCTTTTTGAAATGGGTTTTTATATAAAAAGGTATAAAGAATATCTAACCTGCTGTAGATAGCTGTTTGAACTACCTCAGTTTGGAGAAATAGATATTACACGACTGATGAGCAAATGGCTAGCCAGAATGATGTCGAAGTGGATTGCTTTCATCTTAAAACTAATAACTCCAAAAACATCATAGCAGTTAACGCAAACGACTAGAAACCTTTATGTCGCCACCAGATTTGAAATGTTATTTACATGTAATTTTATATTTATAAGTGGGAAGAAACAGCTGCTTTTTGTGCCAGAGTTTCAAACTAAAATTATCATTAGCTAACTTTCAGCTTCTACTACCAAAACTTTAGCTCTATTTGTAAAAATAATTAAGCTGGAGGTTTTATTGTGTTGGCCAAGGACACTTAGCTGCAAACAAAAACTAACTGATGGTTAATGTACATTTCGTGATTACTTTCTGAAAATGTCTTCACTGGTTTATGAAATATTTTGCTAACAGACGGCGCTGACTAGTTTGTAACGGCACACTTTTAAAGAGATCTTGCACGACTTGGTGGTGCTCCGAGTACAAGTTGTGAACCAGACTTGGCTAAAAGAACACTTCACTTTAGCTCTATATGACTGAGTTTGAACAACTTTTGTGTTTGCTAAGGTTGCTTTGATGTGGCAGCCATTTTGAATAAGATCAACTCTAAAAGTAAATGAGTTCATCCACTGATTATTATTTCTGTTTTGAGTGTGCTTTATGTTACTCCTGCTGGTGCTAACTATGCTTAAAAATAACCATAAAGTTTGATTTGAATCAGGTAAAGTTCAGCTTAGACAGCAGCTTTTGAAACATCGTCTCATAAGCTGCCGTGATATTTTGGAGCTGTTTGATGATGATACCAATCTGCTTGATCTTAGCAAAACTCTTGACTAGTCGTTGGCTCATCAGTCCTGTTGAACATAACTCCATCTCTCCAAACTAAGGTTGTTTTAAAAAGCCACCTGTAACAGGTAAGATATTTATTATTACTATTACATAGTAAACAATTCCTTTAACCGTCGTAATGAAACATGCTGAGTGAGGTTGAGCAATATGTCTGTGGGCTGTGAGGTGTTTCAGATTTACTTTCATTTGTGACACTTTAATCAGTCAGAGTTAAAGAGATTATATTTTGAATAAACAGCCCTGTTGTGTTTGGTTTATAGGAATGACTGAATTAGAACTAAAGATTTCTGCTGGTCAGTTTATTTTGTTGTGATGAATCAATCTGTGCTGCTTCCACTTGTAAAGCTCCCAGACTTCATCCATATTGCACAACCTCTAATGCCACAGCACGTCAGCATGAACCTCTATAAATAGTCAAGTATTAGATAACAGTATCAACGTAGACAAAATAACTAAATAAAATCTGTCCTTTTTTTATACAGACAAAATCTGGTTTGACCCAATTTCACATGAATGTACAATATGTTACTTTTCATTTAAAAAAATAAGTCAGTCAGAGGCTTTTCAGACCAGCTGAAGGTTGGTTTTAAAAGAATAAAAGCAGGAATAAGACTAAACTTTTCTTACTCTCTTTTAAAATCTACCAGTTTATTGTCTATTTGTCTAATGGAGTGTGTGTGTGTGTGTGTGTGTGTGTGTGTGTGTGTGTGTGTGTGTGTGTG